CTTTCAACGCTGCACCCCACACCTCTGGGTAGGAGAGGCTGAAGGTTAACTGCTCAACCGTGGCCCAGGATGGACTTAATCCTGTGTGTACAATGAGGCCTCAATGGGAGTTCAGAAGGACGAGGATGCCCACGGCTGAACACATGGGAGCTTGTGGAGGGCCGTGCTCCTGAAGAGGGCGCAGAAGCACCTGTCTCTTCCCCCACACTTTGCCCCATGCATCTCTTCACCTGCATCTTTTATAATAAACCTGTCAATGTGTTTCTTTGAGTTTTGGGAACCACTGAAGCGAGACAGTCGAACCCAAGGAGGGAGTTGTGGAAACCCTAATTTCTTGCCAGTTGGTCAGAAACTCCTGTGGAACAGTATGGGGCTTGTGACTGGCCTCTGATGCAGGGGACATTCTTGGGAACTGATCCTCAGCTTGTGGGGTCTGATGCTATTTCCAGGTAGCTGGTGTTAGAACGGAACTGGGTTAGTTAACACTTAGCTGGTGGGTGCTGCTACGGCTTGACTGCTTGCTAGTGGGGAGAAAGTCCCACACCTTTCGAGGTCTCCCATGTTGACTGTTGAAGGACCCTAGTTAGCAAGACAGACTCCCTATTGCTGCTGAACGACCCACCTTCCTGCCCTTTAGATGAACTCAGAAGGAGGAAGCTTAGACACCTCCTCCCCTTAGAGTCTCTTAGAAACAACAATGAATCAACTGTTGTTTGACAAATGTTCTAACAGCAGGATGTTCTGCTTCTGTGCCTTTTGCTTGCTTTGCTAGTTCTATCCCATAGGGGGGCCTAGAAACCGCTGGCCTCAAAGGTGTATAAAACATGTTAGTCTCCCCCGAGTCCAGGCTCGAGTCCGATGCTGGGCTCGGCCCGGCCGGTGACCAGCTCCTGTGTGGACTGAATACCGGGCTCTGGCTGCTTCTCTCTCACTGGGTACAACAACTGTTGTGGCCTAAATGTTGAGGGAAACAGACTTGGTCTTCGTGAGACTCCGACGACCCTAAGAGCCGCGGAGGGCCAGAGGAGGAGAGCCTGCCTGCAGCCGAGCCTGCCTGCAGCCAAAGGGGTTAAGGCTAGACGGCAGGGTCAAAGAGTGAGCGCGAAGATTTCCAAACTCTGAGGGCGCACTCTGGATGGAAGGCCCTGACAGTGTCTAGTGAAATGAATGAAAACAAGCTGTGTAGCAAGGAAGAGCGCCGTGAAGTGCATGCAGAGATGAGCCTGTATGCACGGCTGAGGCCACTCACACAGGACCAAAGATCAGAATGAACACAAGTCCCTCAAACTGCAGAGTGAGTTTTCACCCCAGAATTTATGCCTCCTCATATTTTGAGGCAAGTGGAAAAGGCTATTTTCATAAAAGCAGAGACTCAACATTTTTCCAGGCATAGATCAAGAAAAAGGAAGATGCGGTATTTGGCGAAAACAGGATCAAAGCCAGGAAAGAGACAAAGCGAGCTCCTGATGTTAGCTGTTTGTCAGGTTCAGAAAGCGGCTCATCCAGACTGCAGGAGGAGACAGATGAGGATTTGTGATCCTGGAAAACAGCCTGGTCTTGGACAGATCCATTACAGAAATTGGAAAGGAAAACAGGAGCTGTCCCTCCTCTTTCTTTTCCATCTTTTTCCCCCAACTGTCTTTTGTTACACTAAAAATAAGGAAAAACAAAATAAAACAACAAAACCAAATCTATAGGTTCGAAGCAAACAAAGCAAATTAAAGAAATAAGGTCATAGGTACAAGAGGACAAATGTTCGTACAAAAAAGGAACTCTATTGAAGTACATTATGCAGCTCAAAGACCTTCTCGCATGGTCTTAATAATATTCCTACTGATAACTGATTTTACCAAAAATTTTAGGAAAGAGAACTTGGAGTGAGATAGGAGAATGACCACAATGTGCAGAGGACAGAAGATATTTAAAATAAGTAAACAAAGAAATATCATTATAAATGTGTTTGTGACATAATAGAAATGCCAGAAGAAATAACATCGATGGTGAGAGTGGTTGTTTAGGGGCCAGGATATAGCTGGGGATGACTTTTCTTAGTAACATAACTTTTAAAAAACATATTATATTTATAAAATAAATGCATTTTAAGCAAAAAAGAAAGGATATTACCAATCCCCTAAACAGTGGTCTTCAAACTCGTTTTGTTAGCAGAGTGTTTTCTTCCCCAAAAAACATCTTATGAAGACTAAAAGCACAGCTGCTGTCACCCCGCCAGCTGCTGAGGCATCTCTTAGAAACCAGCTCTGAAGATAATGGTGAAAACCACAAATCTCCCCACGTTCTCATGTAACCAAATTTATACAAGTTTGGGGTTGAATGGAGGCCGAGGATTCCTTCCCCCAGGATTTCTTTTCCTATATGACCCGGCTGGTGGAATTTAAAAATAAAGCTAACAAAGGCATCAGTGAAGACCAAGGCATAAGACGACTGCGGATCTCCTTGATCACAGGGGCGCTGGAGGCAGGGGAAAGTGAAAGAGAGGTGAGACTGACAGAAAGTGAGGAAGGACAGGATGGAAGGAAGAAGAGGGGAAGGGAGGAGGTCGGCATTACCACACCAAGAGTGGCATGCAGGTTGAGCACAACTGCGCAGTTTGATTAACTGACAAGGTCTGCTCAAGCACCGAGATGGATTTTGAGGTTGAATCTGGGATTAGCCACGTGGTGTGCCTTGATTGGTGACATCTTGGGAGAGGGTAAGAATACCATGTGTCAGTTATTCTTGTCCTATCGGGCATTCTCCATCACCCAAGTGGGACGCTAGTTGCTTATACTCTGTCAATGCAAGGATTAAAGCAAAACTAGAGTGCTGTCCTCTTAGACCTGTGGTATTCCATCCCTGCTGGCAGGTGACGTCTTTGCCCTTGAGGATCTAAATAGAAATGAGAAGCCTGGATTTTGGTAACTGCCCAGGGATAATGGGGTGTCCCGTTCCCACTAGGGCAAGTGTGAGGAGGCCTCCTGGAGAGTAAGGATTGTACTTACCACTGCTCAGTGGTACTGAGGATGTCCCCTGGCAGGGGACACAGTGGGGAGAGAAGGCCTCCCACCCATCAGCATGAGCAGCAGTCTCCCTGACCCCAGGGGTCAAAGGCTGGGCCGGGACTTCCACCCTCTCAGGCAAGGAGGCAGCATGCCTGCCTCTCTCAGACAAAGCAATGCCCAGCTGGAAGATGTGATCCAGAGTCTCAGAAAACAGTATAAGTGTCTAGGTTTCCCTTGGGAATCTATCTGCAGGAAAAAGAATGAGCTCAAAACAGTAGAATGGTATCAACAGATGCCAACACTGACATGACAGAGCTATTAGAATTATAAAAGATTTAAAAATCTACCAACTATAAAAGAGGCTTCGGTGGAGCTGGCGTGGTGACACCCACCTGTAATTCCAGCACTTTGGAGGCTGAGACAGGAGGACTGTGAGTTGAAGGCCGCCTGGGTAACAGTGGGTTCTAGCCCAGCCTGAACTACATAGCCAGACCAGTCTCAAAGAAACAAAACAAAACAACAAAGGTTTCAGTGAGCAAGTACAAACACTCCAGGAACAAATGAAAATATAGGAAGACAGCAAAGCAGTAGAAACTATAAAAAGAACCAAATGGAAATTTCAGAACTAAAAAATAACTGAAAAGAAAACCTCAGTGGGTGGGTTTAAGAGCAGGATGGAAGGGCCAGAGGAAAGATTTAGTGAGTTGTAAGATCAGTTGAAATTACAAGAGAGAAAATGGAAAAAATTTAAAAAAGAGCCTCTGGTATTAAAACAAAAGATCTATTTTGTATAACTAGAGTATAGGAAGAGGGAGGGGGCAAGGGGATCAAAATGCTCTGGATGAAACAATGGCCGATAACCTACTGAAATCTTGAAGGCCGCTGCTGTGCAGCAACAGACTCGGCTGCACCAGGCCCAGGCGGCACCGGGGCCGCGCCTCTAGGAACTCCAGGCCCCCGCGCCTGGATGGGGACCGCAGGGTGTGAGGCGGCCCGGTGGAGAGCGGAGGGCTGCGCCTGCTGCCCGCTCTGGCTCCTGCAACTCCACCCGCAGCCCCACGGGGCCGCAATGGAGGGATGGCAGGGCATGTGGCGCTGAGTCTGGCAGTGCCCGGGCCTTGACGCACCCCATCAAAGTGACACAAGAACCACTTACATAGCCAACAGGTTTCCTCAGAACAGCCTTTACACACCTCAGAAATTTATAGATAACTGGATAACTTCACCTAAGTACACTGTGTGGAATTTTGTTCCAAAAATTTTATTTGAACAATTCCGAAGAGTGGCAAGCTCTTGTTTTATTATATTCTTGGTTCAGCTTATGATTGACACACATACCAGTCCAATTACCAGTGGACTTCCATTATTCTTTGTGATAACAGTAACCACCATAAAGCAGGGATATGAAGACTGTTTATGACATAACTCAGATAATGAAGCAAATGGAGCTCCTGTTTATGTTGTTCAAAGTGGTACCCCTGTGAAAACTAGATCAAAAAACATTTGGGTGGGTGATATTGTTCGCATAGCCAAAGATGAAATCTTCCCTGCAGAGTTGGTACTTCTTTCCTTGGATTGACTTTGTGGTTCATGTCACATTACAACTGCTAGTGTGAATGGAGAAATAAACCTAAAGACACATGTGGCAGTTCCAGAAACAGCCATTACAGGCAGTTCCCAATTTGGACAGTCCTGTAGCTGTGAATGCCAGCAACCGGAAGCAGATTTCTACAGATTCATGTGATGAATGATAATAACTCAGCAAATGGAAGAAATTTTAAGGCCTCTAGGGCCAGAGAATCTCTTACTTCATGGAACCAGATTAAAAAACTTGAAATACATTTTTGGTGTTGTTGTATACACCAGAATGCAAACTAAGATGGCATTAAATTATAAGAACAAGTCACAGAAAACCCCACTGTGGAAAAAAATTCAATGAACACATTTTTGATAATATGTCTAATAATCTTTATTTCTGAAGCTATCATCAGTACTTGAAAAATACATAGCAAACTGAAGAAAATAGGATAAACCTTGGTATAACCAAAAGACAGAACATCAAAGATATAGTAGTAAGATTCTGAGATTTATTTCTGATTTCCTTGCTTTTCTGATACTCTACAGTTTCATCATTCCAATTTCATTATATGTAACAGTTGTAATGCAGAAATTTCTTAGATTATTTTTTATTGGCTGGGCTCTTGATCTCTGTCATGAGGAATCAAATCAGAAAGCTCAAGTCAGTACTTCCGATTTGAATGAAGAACTTGGACAGGTGGACTATGTGTTTACAGATAAAACTGAAACACTGACAGAATATGAGATGCAGTTCTGGAAATGTTCAATTAATGGCATAAAATACCAAGAAATCAGTGGTAAGACTTGTACCTGAAGGACCAACACCTGACTCTTCAGAAGGAAACTTTTCTTAGTGGTTTATCCTACCTTAGCAGCTTAGCCCATCTTACAAGGTAATTCTGAAGACATTATGGAAATTAAAATACTTGGAAAACTGGAATGGTAAAAACTGCTTCATGTTCTGGAATTTGATTCAGATTGTAGGAGAATGAATGTAATTGTTTAAGCATGTTCAGGTAAGAAGCTTTTATTTGCTAAAGGAGCAGAATTCTTCCTAATTCTTCCTAATTGCATAGGTGGAAAAATAGAGAAAACCAGAATTCATGTAGACAAATTTGCTTTGAAAGGGCTAAGAACTCTGTGTTTAGCTTATAGACAGTTTACACCTAAAGATTATGAGAAGACAGATGCTTTTTTGAAGCCAGGACTGCCTTGCAGCAGTGGGAAGAGAAACTGCTGAAGTCTTCCAGTTCATAGAGAAAGACCTGATATTACTTGGGGCTACAGCAGAAGACAGATTACAAGATAAAAGTTCGAGAAACTATTGAAGCGTTGAAAATAGCTGGTAGCAAAGTATGGGTACTTACTGGAGATAAACATGAAACCACTGTTAGTGTGAGTTTATCATGTGAACATCTTCATAGAATTATGAACATCCTTGAACTTGTTTTGTTTTGTTTTGGTTTTGGTACCAGGGATCGAACTCGAGACCTTGCGCTTGCGAGGCAGGTGGTATCACCACTAAGCTAAAACCCCGGCCTGCCATCCTTGAACTTATTAACCGGAATTCAGACAACAAATGCACTGAACAGGTGAAGCAGCTTGCCAGAAGAACTGGGATCATGTAACTCAGTATGGGCTGGTAGTGGATGGGACCAGGCTATCTATTACACTCAGGAAGCATGAAAATCTATTTATGGAAGTTTGCAGAAATTGTTCGGCTGTATCATGCTGTCGTATGGCACCACTGCAGAAAGCAAAAGTATGTATATATTATAAAAACTTCCATTAAGATATTTAGATCTAAGAGTATCCGCTAAAGATTAATGCCTTACATAGCTTCATTTGGTGGTATGCAATATATGACTCTTAATCTAGGAATCAGTCACTTCCTGTACTATGAATTTTAGCCATGTACATTAGACTTAGAGAATTCTCAGAGTAAATACTCAAGTTTCAACTATTCATAATGACCTAGAAAGTCTATATTGTTTAGCAGTTGTGGTATTGCTGAAACACGAATTTGAACTGTAGTAACTAATATTTTCATTACTTAACAAGCGAAGGACTCAGAAGCTTGAATTCCTCTGCACCTTGAGGTGGTTCTGTTGATCACAGCTTATTCTTCCATCTTGAAATAGTAATTCTTTGTTAAAAGTGGCTATCAAGCGCAAGCAGAAAGTTGAAAGCCAGTTAACTTGTAAAGTTGCACATAAGAAATACTTATATTTTAGCTACCTAAGTGAAAGTATATACACATTATTTTGTAATTTCACATTTGGAATTTGAGGTCTTAGCACGTATCCTTTACAAATATCCTATGCGATGCACATCTGAATACTACTGATTGTTTCACATATACATCTAATAACTTCTTCATCCATTTTTTTTTTGGCTTCATGGAATTTTGTTATAGTGCCTTTATTGTAATTACTGTATCCTAGACTATGGAGACTAATACTAAGCCCAAACAAAACCAATGCTTAGGCATTTAATACAAGTACATTCAAGAGTTCCACAGAAAACTGTTTTAATATTGGTTGCTTTAAAAAAAACCCTTCAGATTGTGTTTATTATAAGGGACTACAATGGTCTTTCTTTTATATCAAATAAGAAGTACAATTTCTTGAGAAAACAAACAACAAAAACACAAAATAATGCTGAGCTGAGCATAATATTGTTTACAAATAAGCACTTAACAGCAAAGCTCTGGATGATTATGCTAGAATTTGCTGATATAAAACAGTGCTGGGCATGGTGACACACATCTGTAATCCCAGCACTCGGGAGGCTGAGGCAGGAGGATCACCTCAAATTCGAGGTCAGCCTGGGCTACATAATGAATTCAGAGCCAGCCTGAACTACAAAATGAGACCCTGTCTCAAACAAACAAACAAAAAAACAGTTACCAAGACTATGTGAGATAATGTATGTTAATTAGGTAACTGTTCCTCTATACATACTTCAAAACATCATATTATACCTGGTAAATATAATTTTGTATGTCAATGTAAAAAGAGGTAGTTAGTGAGGTATTATGTTTGGTTTATAAATGATATTCGGAGGAAATAGTATGAATTGGATAAGCTCTATTTTGAAAATTTGCCACTTGGGCTGGGATATATCTCAGCAATAGAGTTCTTGCCTAGAATATATGAAAACTCTGAGTTCCATCCCCAGCACTGTACTGAAAGAAAAAAAAAAGGCAACTGAAAAATGGTTTAGACCACAAAAGATTCAGGGGCTTGCTGTGCTGGCTAATGTTTGTATCTTTACTATTTGCCTTTAGATTTAGCAAGAAACACACAGCATACAAATGTGAAGGAGGAAGCTGGGAAAGAATGGAGCAAGCTATTTCTTTCCTAGTGGATCCCAGTCACATCTGACCAGGACTCACAGGAGCTGAAGTCAGGCCGGCTATGCTGCTGCAACCCTCTGCTCAGAGCCTTTCTCTCCCTTGTCATCCAGCAGAAACAGTCAAGGAGTCTCTCAGGACTCTGGTATCTGGCCCAAAGCCCAAGTGCACTAGCTCACTTTAACTGAGCATCTTTGCATCAGTTCCTCTCACCGCCAAGTCCCATGGGATGGATCCTGCTGCAAGAGCTTGTAGCAAGCAGTGACCAAAGCTTTGTCCTGAGAAAAACATCACTTTGTCCCTCAAAGTTTCTCACAGCAAAACCCCTGGGAAACAGCTCCACTGAGGAGTCAGCCCTGGCATTCGGGGCACATCTAGCAAAATGTGCAGGAGGGCTGAGGGGAGGCTCCCTAATCCACACAGGGAGTTCTGGCAGTAATGATCACAAATGCAGCAGCCAATGCATGGTGGTGCACACCGGAAATCCCAGCACTCTGGGAGGCTGAGGCAGGAGGATCTGAAGTTCAAGCTCAGTCTGGCAATTTAGCAACTTAGCAAGACTGTCTCAAAATAAAAAATAAAAAATGGTGGTAGGGATGTAACTTAGCATAAAGGCTCTGTTCAACCCCCAGCACCATAAAACAAAAAAACCACACGCACACATACACCCTCAAGCACACCTTTTGACTTAGCAATTCCACCTTCAGCGATCTGTATTGCAGATTTACTTTCACATATATAATTATGGTAACAAGTTCATTTATTCTAACAATATAATAGGAAATGATCAGAAACAACTAATTATGAGTACCAGACTGGTTTGATTATGCCTTCTCAATGGAATACTATATGGTAAAAATAAAGAATGAAGAGATCTGGAGATGCAGCTCAGTGGCAGAGTACTTGCCTGGCACGTAGGGAGCCCTACCCAGCAAACAACACAAAAGTTTCCATATTGATACAGTTGCCAACACACATTGCCCATTGAAGAAAACAGATGCAAAAAAATCCCAAAAATGTACATAATATTCTATTTCTGTAAGTGGCAAAAAAATAGGCATTTCCTTATGATGTGTACTACATATAATTTTATTTCAGGATTCACAACTACTATCATTTGTCTTCAGGGAGATGAAAATGATTGGAAATTAAGTAGGAAACTTTTCTTTCCTTTTATATTTTCATTTTTAAAACATGTGAATGCACCCATTCAAAAGACTAGCCCAAAGTAAACTAGATTTTCCACGTTTCTTAATACCGTCATCATTATTTTTAACCATTTTAGGCAGAAGTTTGTACCCTGTGCTTGTCCTATTTCACTGTGTTATGATGTAGGGAAATTAGCTCCTAGTTATGACTTATCAACTACCATATATACTTGTTACCCTGCTTAATCCATTCAACAATCCTAAAGAGGCATATTTTGTCATTTTACGGAAGAGAAAGTGTCATTGCACAACAGCTGGTGTGGACTCTGCTTTCCCACATCCTGAGCCCTTCCTTCCTAAGATGAAGCCTGTTGGGGAGGAGCATTTCCCTACCTCTGGTGATAGTGGCTCTGTCAGCAGCTCGCAGACCTGGCTATGTGTGAATCACCAGGGGCGAGGGGGTTTGCAACATGCTGGTAACAGCAAGATTCAAATTCCAACACACGACGCCAACCACAGAATTTGGATTCAAAGTTTTAATAATAAATTGTGCCAATAGAAGCTTTTCAAAGGCAATGATATATCAATAAATAATAGTTAAACTGAGTTCCTGAGAAAGAACCTACCACATAAAAGTATGTCAGAGAGCTGTAAATAACAACATGGCTATTACTATAAAATAGCAAAAATACTGTAAGTCACAATACAAGCTCAGCAGACCTCAGAATATGCCATTCATACAAATGTAAACCAGTACACAGAATGTTTTTTAGACATTGATAAACTTATAAGTGTTGTTGCCTAGATATTTAATAATGAATACATTATGTTAAAAATTTTAAGGAAAATATGTGGAATAATATAATGAAAAATAGGATGCATCAGATCTTTTAAAAAGCAAAAAGGAATTGAATTTTTACTCAAATATAAATCACTTTAAATAGAAACCATACTAATTTGAAATAAGGAATATTTTGTGTGTTTATCTATATAGTCATATATACACCAATATTCTAGGAAAATATGTATGGCTTGTTTTTATTCCAATGTCACTTTGAAGAATCTTTGTTTTTTTACACAAAAGCTAGAAAAACTTGGTATTATTTAAATCAAGTTGAGATTTGACATTTCAAAGCACACTAAAAACAAGGCAAAAGTTGATAAGTTTATTTAATTCAGCGTGGCAACCTCTCAGCTGCCTAAGACAATAAAAGGAATAACGTTCATGTAACCGTTCAGTGTGGGCAGTCTGTCAGTAAAACACTAAGTAGTAGGGTCCTTATTGAATTCCACATACCAGCTACATCAAGAATGAGAGCGCAGACTGACTGGAGAAATGGACCTAGGTCCATGATTAACTTCAATGTTTTGGCATAGCTGAATTAATCCCTTTTAATGTATAAAGTTTGCTGCATGACAAACATTTACATTTGTTCCCCAAAGAATCCAATCATACCCAAGACACACTTACATACTTAAACACACACACACACACACACTCTCACATGCATGCACATACAAATCACTTCTCAATTACACATCTGCATTTCTTTAACAAAACAGCAAGGGATACAATCACAGGAAAGACATCACCCACATAAAACGTTATCAGCACGCTGTCTAGAATACCTCATTTAAAAACACTCAGTAAAAATGTATTCACAGGACCTGCTGTGAACGGCAAGACATGGTAATTTTATAATAGAAAAATCCTGCTCATGCAGTACAGTACTTCCCACACACCAGACACCTGAAACCACACCCCACATCATTACTTTGCTCACACTTTGTTATAGTACTATAATATGCAAAAAAACAACACAAAAGCAGCTTTTAACATTATATCACAATTTTGAAATGTGGGAACAAATACAAACAAAAACCATTGGGTGGATAAAATGGTCTCCGTGACACCTCAGCAGAGCATCATCTTTTTCAAACATTATTGCACAGAGATTTCTTATCACATGTTCTTCAGTTTTTCTGTCTTCCGAATGTGAGTAAGTGCTATGGCTAAGATACAAATGTAGAAAATAACAGCAGCATGATTTGTCAAAGTTAATCCCTATAATTTAGTAAGAAAAAATGGTTATCAACACAATAAGTGCTTTCTAAACTGTACTAAATTTTTAAAAACATTGTTTTAATGCAGTGAAGGGCCCCAAAAGCCGATTCAAAGCCATGCTGACCCTCCCTGCCGCCCATCAGCCAGAACCTCGAAATGAAAATCTGCTAGACTTGAGTACTTTCTTTTAAAACGTTTCTTGGGGATTTCTTGGTGAAGAGCAGAATTTCAAATGATGTACTCAGTCACCTAGGTGGAAACAAGGCTGCCTCAGGCTTCCCATCGACCACGTAGGAACCAGCTGGGCCCCTGCCCTTCCAAGACGCAGGCGTGGGCCTGTGGTCAGGTCTACACGTACACCGGCTGGCAGCCCTCGGTCTGATCCACCAGATCGGAGCTGTCTAGATCTGAGCTCTCAGAGTGTGAGGTCTCTGCTCCTGGAGGCTTTGGGCACCGGAAGGGGTACCCGTTATCATCAAAGAACCTCCGGAAGGTGAACTCATAAAATGCATGTTCAGGGTGCTTATTACTGGGGGAAGTGAGTGTGTCCCAGGCCTGGGCGCTGCCTTCGCTGTTCTCATTCCAAGGGCTCTCTTCATCCACGGGGTCAAAGTTTGAGGTGTCCATGGGGTGGCTGATGGTGGGGACGTAGGGGGCTGGCTGCTTCCGGATGTCGCTGGAGAAGTCGATGGTGCTGAAGAATGGGTGGCCCTTCAGGTCGTCGGCCCCATCCCTCCCCAGGCGGCAGTCGGCCGAGCAGCACAGTCTGGTGATGAGGTCCCTGGCCTCGGGGCTCAGCTTCACCTGGGCCGGAATGTGGAGCGTGCTCTCCCAGTTTATCACCTGCAGACAACAGAACCAAGGGTTTGGCTTCTCTTTGTGACTAGGCCAAGGTGGGATGAGTCTCAGTACACAATGGCGTGACGAGGGGCAGTTAGATGAGGGCACGGAAAGAGCAGCTGTTGGTCTGAGCCCCTCTAAAAAGTCAGTGAGGTTTTAGGAGGTGGCTTCCGGCCCAAGGAACAGGATAATGAAGTTGAATGCAGACAAAATGATACTAATTTTCTTCTGTCAGAAATGCTAGCCAAAGAGTTTTGTACTTTCCACAAAAACGAAGTGACTGAGCTAGGAATCATTTTTTCAGCTATGGTGATGGATTTCTGTTAAGTCATCACAGCACTCACTTAATACTTATTTTAGCCAAGAGACAGTCATGGGGGTTTTGTAGGGAAAAAAGATAGCCTCACACAGAGGAGAATCAAGGTGACTAAACCTTAGCCTTGCCTGTTTATGATGCTCAACCAAACCAACCAGCCATCTGGATGTTTGTTAAATACAGTTGTCACGCAGCTGTGTCCACTGTGAAGAGAAAAACTAAGACACAGCTGCACAGTTCATACTCAGCACCAGCTGAACCAAGAGCAGCATTCAGTGACCACCAGGGAGGGTGACAAGACAGGGGGTAAGGTGTGTAAGTAGGTGAGTGCTTGTCTGGAAGGCTTGCTTTATAACTAGGAGCGTTTAGTAGAGCCTAAACCAAGAAATGCAGAGAAAAAAAACAGGGTCAAATCTTCATGATGTTAGATTTGGCAATGATTTCTTGGATATGATACCAAAACACAGGCAATAAAAGAAAAACCTGAAGTCTATAAAAATGAAAAACTTCTGTGCATCAAAGGACATCACTGACTAAGTGAAAAGGCAGCCGTAGGACCACAGAATGTATTTGTAAGGCACGTATTTGAAAAGGGGTTAATATCCAAAATAAACAACTCTTACAACTCAACAACAAATAATAAATTTCTTTTTAAAGGGAAAAAGACTGGAATAGTTGATTCTCCAAAATTATACAAATGGCCATAAATACCTGAAAATATACTCAATACCACTAATTAATAGGGAGATACAGATGAAAACCACAAGGAGATGCCACCTCATACCTACTAGGATGGCTTCTATTAAAAAAAAGAAAAGAGAAGAGGGAATTAAGGGTTGGGACAGACGTGCATACACTGAAATCTATGTGCACTATCGGCAATAAGAGTCTGGCAGTTTTTCTACAAGTTAAACACAAATGATGGTATGATCCAGCAATTCCACCTCTCGGCATAGATCTGAAAGAACTGAAAGCAAGGACTGAAGCAGGTACTTGTACACCCACGTTCACAGCAGCATTATTCGTAACAGCCAAGAAGTGGAAATAACACAGCTAATTCAGCAATGCATGAACGAATGTGATGCACGAATACAGACGACTCTACTTCAGCATTAAAGAGGAAGGAAATACTGCAACAGGCTGTAACAGGCAGACTAAGGGTATGCTAAGTAAAATAAAGCAGTCACAGAAAGATCAATACTGTACCATTCCACTTTGTTTTATGTAAAGGGGTCTAATTCAGAGATAGAAAGGAGAGTAGAAGTTAGAAGGGGCTACCGGTGTCTGTGGGAAAGGGGAATGGGTTCCTCTCTAGTGGGTGCCAAATTTCAGTCTGGGATGATGAAAATATCTGGAAAGAGTGGAGATGGTCACACAACATTGTAAATGTACTCAATCCCACCGAATCAGTGTACTTCAAAATGATTCAAATGGTAAATTTCATGTCATGTATACCTTACCACAGAAAAAGAATTAGTGAGTGCTCCAGCAATTCAATTATAATGCAGAAAATGCTACATTCCAATTGCACTGCGAAACTAAGCTTTAACCTGAGGGTTTTTCAAATTAAAAGGTTATTAATTCAGGTTATTAATTCAGGCTCTACCATGGACCCCAGGGCCCAGGAAAATTTCCTAGCACCGTGCAGCAGTGGGAAGATGTCAGGTCTCAATTCAGTCTTTAATAATATACTTCAAAAGGCAAACGGTTCTCATTTCTAAAATGAAATTATTTAGCACACAATAGTTAGCTGACAGATTTTATGACTTCAAATGAGCATCAGGGATACACACAGCTAGCCTGACCACCTGGCTGATCATGTGCAAACAGTCATGGTGTCACACCCAACAAGCACAGGATATTTTGGTGGCAGGTGACAAGCTCCATGGCTGGCCCGGGTGGGTGGCTGCTCTGCACTGTGCCCACTGCTCCTCACTGTGAGTAGTTTTTGCCTGGAAACAAGCAGCAAATCACCAATGATGTAAATAAAATTTCAGGCACCCACATACATGGTCCAACTTTGTGGCTTTTTACTTACCAAAAGAGAAATTCTACAACTGGATACCGGTCATTTAAAAAGATAGCACTACTTTTTAAAAATCTGGTAATGGGGAAAAAATAAGAACCAAGATACATCATGTACAGGTACAAGCACCCAATGATAAATGTAAACATATTGTATACCTAAAATGTACCAATAAAAGAATTTAAGCAAAAAAAAAAAAATCCTGTAATCTACAACTGCCATTCACATCATACTAAGAAGAGGAGGTCAAGCACTAACCAAGGACCATGGGTATGTGAGAATGTGCAGTGCTCTGTAGCAAGCGTGCTGATTCCTGCTTACCTTCAGCTGGGTTTCTGTTGGGGTAGGAGCCAAAAAGGGCGGCTGCCCCACCAGCATCTCAAAGAGAATCACGCCAACACTCCACCAGTCACAGAGCTGGGTGTACCCTGAAAGACAGAACTCATTCAGTCCCAGTGCAGGCAGAGTCTCCTCAAAGGTGAAGCCAATGAGATCCTGAACACACAGACTGACTGTGACTTGTGTTAGCAGAAGGATTGCGAACAACAGAAATGAGGGTGAAATTCAGGCTGGCAGGGGCTCCTGTGGACCACTAACGCTCATGAGGGCTGTGGCCGCTTTTGTTGTCTTATTTTCAATCACTAGTCTGTGCTACAGGATATTTTTATAAGAAAAGTTCCTTTAATTTAAAAAGAGGACTGCTCTTGTTAGTAACAATACTTGTTACCAACCAGAACTGATCACACACAAATTAAAATAACAGAAACCAAAAACCATACAATGTCGTGACAGCAAAGGTCAGGTGAGACCCAGAGAAGGTTTCTGGGGAGGCATCCAGAAGAAGTCAAAGAATATGGGGGTGCGTGGAGGGGGCCACCCTGGCAAAGACACCGGACAGTTCACTGCAGTTCACTCTGAGGTCTCTGTGTGGGGAGGAGCCATATGCTCCTCACAGAGGCCTGGGCTGGGGGTCAGGGACAACCCTAGGACACCAAAGGGCAGGGTCATGTAGTTTCCCCCACGTGCCAGTCATGCCAGAAGAGTCTCAATGTCATCCAACCCTTGCTAAGTGGGAACTGGGCTGTGAAGAGGTCTGCCCGTGGGGTGACCGCTAGACACTTCTGCTGCCCTCTGCTCCCCTTGGTCCCGCCCATTCTGCCCCTGGCACTGCAGGCTGGCTCTGCTGTAAATGCTGTGCAGGGGAAGGCAGGACACGAAAGGCCTTCCCTGGCCACCGAGGTAGTGTTCTCGGGCTCTCAAGGCATCACTGCTGCACACATGGCACCATGTGGTTCAGAAACCCGCCTGGGGTCACCACAGCCAACAGAGAAAACCTCCACTTGGACTGGGCCTGGCTGGCTTCAAAGACTTCAGACATCCAAATACGGAAGAGGCTGCCCATGTTGCAACGTATCACAAAGGACAAGATCAACAGCCTACTGCTGCCAGGGGCCACGCAGAGGGGGATCTCGCACATTCTGACCCACATGTCATATTTGAGACTGAACAGAACATCCATCCAGCAGACACTTCCTGAGGACTAATGACTTTAAGCGCACCACTGTCTGCAAGTCTTACTTCCCAGGAGTTTGAGGAACAGTAGATAGAACTGGGGGAAAATGGTATTTGTGTGCTAGACATGGTATAATTCATGGAGTTAAGCTAGCACTGGAAAATGTGGTTTTGTTTAGGGAGAATGAATATGGCTGGCCTTGTGATCCTAGTGCTGTTTCCATCATGTAACTTGGTAGAAGCCAGTTCCAAAGCCACTCCCTTATGTCCTGTGTAGAAAGCTCATGCCCTGTACACACCTCCAGAGAAGGGGTAGTTGGAAACCTGCCTAATGGTTCGTGAAGTAAAGGCATTTCCACAATAGAGATAGAGGCTTGTTTGCTAGGGAGACTATGCAGCTCTCAGTCTTAGACACAAAAACACGAAGGGAGTATTTAGCCTCTTGGAAAGCCAGAGCTGAGGAGACTCCTAGACACCCCACTGCCAGCTGTGGTGGGACCACACCGAGGGCGTACCTTTGCGCAAGAGCACCTCGGGGGCGATGTAATTTGGGGTCCCAACCAGGGAGTGTGCCAAGCACCGATGGTGCTGTTTCCGGGCTCTCTGCTCCAGGGTCTTCAGCCTGTCCCCACAGCGACAGTTAGACACATCATCCCAGAGGTCGCTGGGCTCCATGCTGTCCTGTCGGACATGGTTCCCTTCACCTGGAAATCAGGGGTGGTGAGGGAAGAGAACAAAAAGAAAGTGGATTTTCACTACGCATCCATGTAACAAATCCATAGCTTAAGACAGAAGTAACTCCAACTGGCTGTTGGTACACAAGACAACTGCTGCTCCTGGGCTCTGAGACACATGCTGTGGAGCAACGGCTGGCACCACAGCAGACAGACAGGCTGGAGAGACCTTGGGAACATCATTCCCAGCTCTTCTCAGGTTGGTGGCAAAAGGCTAACACTTATCTAGCAAGACATATTTTATAGTAAGAGTGGAAAACCTAAGAGGATTCAAAAAATATGAACAAAAGTGATTTCAATTCCAGAAAATGCAAAGGTTAGTGTTCAATTTAAGAAAACAAAAACAAACAAACAAACAAAAACCCAAAACTGGGCTGTGGTATTAAAATAGCTATTTCAGGCATCTCAGCCCTAAGTAAGACAATTACCAGTTGTCTCTGACCTCTCCAAATAGCAGAACTACAGAAAATGGAATTAAACTGTACAATAGACAGATTCAGGATATCTTTGAGAGAGGACTCTCTGCAAGGCTCTGAGACTTATTTTTTGAGCCAGAGACTTGCTATGTTGCCCAAACTAGCCCTGAACTTCTGAGTTCAAGCCCTCAGTCTCCCAAGTAGCTGGGACTACAGGTACATGCCACTGCACTCAGATTTGAGACTTTCTTCTTTCTTTTTTTTCTTTGGTACTGGGGATTGAACTCGGGTCCTTGAGCTTGCACAGCAGGCGGCAAAACCAATGAGCTTAATCCCCGGCCCGAGACTTTCATTTTTTATGGCTTGTTTTACTAGGGCAGAACAGTGACTCTCTACAAAGGCCTTGCAATAGCCTATTGTTTGAAATGTAATAAAACTTAATTCCACTAACTTAAAAAAGAAAAATCCCACACATATCATCATCTTCCTCTAGGGAAGGAAGAGTTTCAACCAAAGTATACAATACTGGAGAGACGGATGGCTTTTTAATAAGTAGGAGCCACCAGGAAGAGGAACAGTTGTCTTGTACAACTGGGCTATGTCCAGATGTGAAAGTGAACACAGTGGGCCTAAGATAATACCTTTCTGGTAGTATTTGGAATTGTGAGTCCATCTAAATCCCGTGCAGAGGCCAAAATCCGTCAGTTTGATGTGACCATCTAGATCTATCAAAATGTTGTCAGGCTTGATGTCTCGGTGAATGAAGCCCATCTTGTGGACACTCTCGATGGCCAAAGTCAACTCTGCGATGTAGAACCGGGCCAAGTGCTCAGGGAAGACCTCCATCCGGATCAGCAGGCTCATCATGTCCCCCCCAGGGATGTAGTCCATCACAAAATACAGGCTGTCTTTGTCTTGGAAGGAGTAGTACAGTTTGACCACCCACTCGTTGTCTGCCTCGGCCAGGATGTCCCTCTCGGCCTTGACATGGGCCACTTGGTTCCGGTCCAGCACATCTTTCTTCCTCAGGGTCTTCATGGCATACAGGGCATGTGTGTCCACCTTACAGGCCAAGCACACTTCTCCAAAGGCACCGATCCCCAGAGTTTTGATTTTCACAAACATGGACTTGTCCATCTTGGCCCTCTTGAGCCTGTTGTAATTAGACTCTTTCTGGTAGAGGATCTTCCTCATCTGCTCCTGCTCGGCCTCACAGAGTCCTGCCTGCAGACAAAGGAAACCAGAGAAGTCACTAGAGAGATCCCAGGGATGTAAGTGACTGGGGCAAGGGATGCTCTAGACTTGACAGGACACTGAATACAGAGTTCAGAAGAAGGCTTTAATATACTACCAGCAAGGTAATAATCATTCTTGTTTTTTATATCTACATACTGAGGCAGATCAGGAATCGAAAGGTCAGACAAGATAGCATTCTTTTTCTAGGTGACTTTAGGATCTAAAAACTAAACTTCTGTTAATAAAAATCTACAGGAAGGGGGACCACAACATTCTGGAAGTCCAAGAGAAGTCTAGTATTTTACTAGCTCAGGGAAAATGGAAACACAAAAAAACAAGTTAATGCATATGGGACAAAAGGAAGTAGTAACACAGATTTAATTTGTAGAATTTGGAATGACTGGCTTGGTGTGATTTAACTTTACTGTTACATTTCAATTTGAATTTCATTAGTAATTACCTTCCTTAGCACTCTGGTGTAATTAACATTTTTAGAACATTATTTACTAGAAAGACTTTCCTTTTAAAAACCCCAATTTCAGCTTCTAAAACCTGTCATTGTTTCTACTCTTTCAAAATACTTATTATATTATTGGTAAGTAAACCTTGATGAAACTTGTTGAAAATTAAAGATACACTATAAAGACCAACTTGCTAACTATGGCCACATTTATACACTGCTATCAGGGTCTCCTAAGATCAGGGGAGGGGGAAGAAGAAAAGAGGTCACCACACGTGTGACTTCACATTGCTGGCCCCATCCCCAGCTAGGGGTCTGTGAGCGGGTTTGTGATAGAGGTGAGGGCTGGTGGTGCAAACAGAGCTGCCTGGCCTGCTTTCTGTCCCCAGGGGAGGGCAGAACCAGGAATAGGAAGGAAGAACAGCACACAGAGAAATCACCTTGATCCATCAAAATGTACAATAGATAATATGAAATAGGAAGATGAGGTCCAAAGGGGAAGGGGAAGTGGGAGGGGAAGGGGAAGGGGAAAGGAAAGAAGGGAAAGGAATAAATACGAGAAAAGGAAAAAATGGAAACAAAGTCTTTGTAAGTAGGGAGGGGTGGAGGGGGTGAAGGGAGGGCAGAGAAATGGGGAAAAAATAAGAACCAAGATACATCATGTACAGGTACAAATTAGAAATTACCTTGGCCATTTCCTGTTCCAGCTGCAGCCTCCGGTTGACCTTCTGCTGGTAGGTTTTGATGACGTTTTCCACGTGCTGCTCCATGAAGAACTTGAAGGCATATGGGGAATAGCTCTTGATGCGAGATTCTCTCTTCTCTTCGTCTCTGTTGTTTTTGCGAACGGGCACTGGAGAGGTCTGGATCTGCTTCTTATCCTTGCCAGCCTTGTCGCCCTTGTCCACCTTGCGGCTCTTGTCACTCCGGTCAGCCACGGGTTCGGCAGCTGGGCCCCCGCGGAGGCTCTGCTCCACGCCCGCGCACAGGCTATCGAGGTCGAACTGCTCAGACTTGCTGTGCAGCAGCAGGTGCTTCGGGTAGGGAGGTGGCGGGCACCTGTCCCGTGGATAGGCGCCAGCCAGGCTGTGCACGGGCTCATCAGCGGCAGTGGGGACCTCGGCAGGGGTGGGCGCAGGCACCCAGGCGGGGTGCGAGGGCCCCACAGCCGTCTGCGGCTCGGGCCGTAGCACACGCACGCTCTTTACCGGATGCAGGATGTGCGCAGCGGTGACTGCTGTGACCGTGTTGGGTGCAGGCAGGGCAGGAAGCGCGGGCGCGGGGTCGGCCGGCGGCCCGCTGAAAGAGTTGGTCCTACTGGGCGCAGGGCCGCCGGGCCGGAAGGCCCCGTGTGCGCGAGGCGGCGGCTCGGGGCCCGCGTTCTGCAGTGAGTCGCGGCGGGCCAGCACTGCGGGCCAGGGCTCGTACAGCTCGGCGTGCAGGCCGCCACGCGAGGGCGCCAGCAGGCCCTGCGGGGGGTCGCCAGGGAAGCCTGCGCCGCGGGCACCCATGGTGTGCAGCGGGTGTGCCTGTGGCTTGTGCAGCTGGTGTGGTGGCGGGTACAGCCCCGCTGGGCCTGGGAAGGCGAGGCCAGTGGTCGGGGGGCCCCCCGGAGCCTGGAAGGACGGGCTGCGCTGCACGCCGTAGCCCCGCGGTTCCCCAGGCCCGGGCAGGCGCATGCGGCCATAGTGCGCCCCCGGGAAGCGCGCACCCGCCGCTGCCTCAGGGCCAAAGGCCTGGGGCACGCTGTGCGGGGACCCGGGGAACAGGAAGTCTACGTAGGGCCCCGGCACCTCCTCCAGGGCCGCGGAGCCGTCTGCACAGAAGCCTACGCCCTCGTAGGCTACTCCAGGCAGCGGGTGGAAAGATGGGAAGCCTTCACGTGCGCCCTCGAAGCTCGGCCGCCGGGTCACCGTGACTGGGGTAGGCACAAGGCCCTTGCCTGCAGCCAACACAGGAAGACGGGTCAGTGCATGAAACGCCGGCGCTGGCACCCTCAGGTCGGTCCCTACTAACGGTCCCCGCTAGTGCTGTCCCTGGGGCTGGGCTACGCACAGGGTCGTCAAGGGAGGGCCCCGACAGGTGTCCAACTTAGGGCCCAGTCCCCGTAGTGTTGGGAGTCTCACATCCCAGAGGACACACCTAAAACCTGCCTCCTGCCACGCTGGGGAGCCATCTGGACAGAATGTTTTCAGACCGAAAACAGCTGAGTCATCTGGGACACCTGCGTTTACTGTTCCCAAAGTCCTTCGTCTTTTCCCTAACAAGGGCAGAATCATAGTCATTGTCCAGATGTCCACTTTGGTTTCAATAAAGACAAAAAAACCCAGAAAAAACTTATTTTGCAAAATAAGTGAAAGCAAACAACGTATATACAACAACAAAAACCACATAAACCCCTCAAATATCTAGATGGATTTCTGCCGCTGTTTCCTGACTTTTCCATGTTGAAAATCTCTCCTCATTTAAAATCGACGCCTGGGAGGGAGGACAAAGACGCTTTTCATTTCCTTACTCCAGCCCCCTGCTTGATTTGGCAGCACACTGTAGTCCCAAGGCTGTGCCTTGCCATCCACAGCAACACCCCCAACCCCAATATCTGGCAAAGCGAGGGCCCAGCAGCCACAGCGTGGACGACAAGCCACAACCACACAACCGCTGAGAAGATGAATCGATGCATTGAGGCACCGAAACAAAGGCAACCAGGAGGTAAATCGTTACAGAGCCAGGGCCTGTGTTTCACTTTTGGCACCATGGTCTAAGACATGGGTGGCTGAATAGGGACCGGTTAAGGAAAAGTCCTCTCAAAAGGGAAAGAGAACCGTGTGTCCCCTAAACAGCAGAGATACAAGTCACAAAAGCCTGTGAAACTGTCTCACATATCACATCAAGTGGGTTTTAGCTCTTCCATAAAATGGGAAAAACTCCTTTTGGAAATCATAATGAATTCTTTATCACACCCCAGGGACCTCAAGAACCTAAAGCACAACCCACCCATTTCCTCCTGCCCCTGAAGCCAGTGGGGTACAGTGGGTAACTCTGTCCCTTCCAGGGGACCCTGGGGGAGCCCAACACACTGCCTACAGCTGTTAGTCCTGACAGCTGCTCTCAGAGGCAGTGGTGTGAGAAGCAAAGGTGGGTTTTAGAGCGTAGGCCCCAAGCCTCCCTTTTCGGATTCCTCCCCAGGACCAAGGCAAAGTGAAAACATTTTTAGTCTCACTTTGGTGAATTCATCTTTTCATCTTTCACAGAACAAAATAAGCACACACACCTCTTAAGTTTCATGATCTGCTCCCTGTGTCCCCACTGTGGGCCTGACTCTCACGGGGCCAGCTCAGCTTTCCTGTCAATGGGAGGAGGGCTGTGTGGAAAGATTATCTCCTGACCAGGGCAGGCTGGGCCTCTTCCTGCAACTGCTCTGTGTTCTCAGATCACAGATCTTTTCTCACCGCACTGCGGCCTGTTGTCAGGGCTCACCTGGGGAAGTCTGCTTGATGACACGCACAATCTGCTCGTTCCTCGGGTCCAGGTAGCCCATCTTGCTTATGAACTCCAGGGCAGCCTCGATGCTCCTGCTGCCAGTCTGCTTCAGCGCTCTGCCAGCCATCTCCTAGAGGGGAAGCATGGAAATTTGAGTGTGTCAGAGCCACCAGTGACCTCTGTCCCCACTCCATGTCTGGCCATGCTGTAACATTCTGCCACTCTGGGACTGCCAGGGCCCTGCACGGTGTTGCAGATGACTCTCAGAAGGCACACAGGTGAGCTGAGCACGGTGGTACACAACTGTAATCCCAGCACTCTGGAGGCTGAGGCAGGAGGATCACAAGTTTGAGTCTAGCTTGGGCAACTTAGTGAAACCCTGTCTCAAAATACAAAAAGGCTGGAGATGTAGCTCACTGCAAAGACCCTGGCTTCAGTTACCCAGTACTGAAAAAAAAATGCACACAGGCGGCCAAGGTCCTGTAGGTGACGACAAAAGCCAAGCACACAGCACTGCACAGACTGGAGCCCATGTCGAGAACGTACGGAAATGTGACGGTGGGCTTATGTGTCGACTTGACTGGCTTGGGAGCTGCCCAGGGGCTCAGTAAAGCTCCCTTCCGTGTGTCCAGGAAGCTCATGGGGTCATGGCTTGGGCTGTGTATCTGGTCCCGGGCCTCTTCCTCTCCAGGGCTGTTCCTCTGTCCTGCTTCCTGGATGCCATGACTAAGCAGTTTTGTCTGGCCGAACCCTCCCACCATGATATTCCTGCCTTGGAGCCAGCTGACCAGAGAAAAAACCTCTGAAATCAGGAGCCTAAGTAACCTTTCCTCCTTAAAGTTATGGAGGGGCCGGGGATTTAGCTCAGTGGTTTCGCCACCTGCTGCACAAATGCAAGGACCCGAGTTTGATCCCCGGCACAAATAAATAAATAATAAAGTTATGGATATCCGGTACTTTGTCTCAACTGACCAATACATTCTGAAACAAACTTATAAGTTCTCCCAAAAAACTTTTGCGATTAGACTAGTAAATCCAGGATGAACCTAAAATCAGAACGAGTTTAGCTGCAGAAGGAACTGTGGAAATCAGGGAACCTGCATGAATCCCGGGTCACCCCCAGGGTAACTCTGGGACCAGGTGATGTATCTTGGAGAGGAAGGTATGAGGGCTGAAGAGTCATTTAGGCAATGTTTACTGAATGCCTACTGTTTTGTTTTTTGGTACTGGGGGACTGAACTCAGGACCTTGCACTTGCAAGGCAGGCTCGGTGCCACTGAGCTAAATCCCCAGCCCTGAATGCCTACTGTTTATAGGGTGCCATGTGGGTTATGGTAGTAGGGCCTTGCCCTTAGGTGAAAGCTAAGAGAGGAAAGAAAAGACAGGCATCACAGAGGCCTCGGAGCCCTATCAGCACAGGACAAATCCCTTAATACTGCTTGTGGGATGAGCAGGAGATAGACACCACATGGCCACCACGGAAGAAGTACAGGTGGAGTGGATGACAGAGGCAGTGGCTCCCTCCCATCCAAGGGGAGATGGGGTATCACAGCTGGTCCTTCAAGGACAGATGGGCTGGATGGCACCAGGGCACGAGGGACAGGGAGCCGAAGACCAAGGCCAGACTATCCTGGGTTTTACCTGTTTTCAAAGCCACAGGAGCTTTGAAGAAGGGAAAAGTGAGTCTGAAGATGCATCCTGGGGCCGCTGCAGGGTACAGAGCTTGAGGCACTCAGGGTCGGGAGGCTGAAGAAGCAGGAGGGGACTCTGAGACCAGGTAGCAGGAACAGAGAGGGTAAAGAGAGGGCAGTTCTCGGACCCAGAGGAAGCAGGCTGAGGCAGTGAAGGGCTTCAGTAGGTGTCCCGCAGCATGGTGAAGAGTGGCAGGCAAGTGGGGCGTGCAGAGAAGCCCAGCAGTCAGGAGGGAAGGGGCGCAGAGGCCACACTGAGCTGCTCGGGGCAGGCGGGTACTGTGGGAGCACCAAGCGCTCCGCTGAGAGCCGGCAGTACCTCCACCGCCCCCATCGTGCCTGTCACCTGTGTCCCTCTCAGCTGTCTGTGGCTCCCTTAGGACCAGGAGAATCTAGCAGGACAAGAAACTGCACATTACTCATAGCCACATCCACCCACACTGCACAGAGCCTAGAATGAATAAAACGCATGATATCTCTATGGTCATTTAACACTAAACCTAGCTTTCTGTTCCTGGGCAAATACCAGCTCAGTGGTGGGACATCACACACTGACTGTACTTGACTACATGCTCCTCAACATGGTGCGGGGGCCTGCCAGATGGCAGGGTGGGAGGGGACCAGGACAGAGCCCGAGACAGCGTGCTGCACTGGAGAGCAGAACATCAGCAACAGCTCAAGAGGCAGATTGTGAGATGGTAATGAAAACAAAGCTGGCTGGGCTGCTCGGCAGGCTGAGACAGGAGGATTGCCATGAGTTCAAGGCCAGCCTGCAGTACAAAGCAAGACCTGTCTCAAAAAAACAAAGAAATGAAAACAAAAAGAAGAGAGCTGGTCTGTCCAAAAGCACCTGGGTTAGCAAGAGGGGCACGTGGTGAGCGTCTGGAAGAGCCGTGGAGAGAATTCAGCAGAGCCTGGGGGTGCAACATCCCCCGCTCACCTGGAACAAAGGGTGCTGAGACTCCACCTTCCCACTTCACAGCTGTGCTATGCAGTATCACATCTGCCAGGACTCCACAGCTGGGCTGGGGGTGTAGCTCAGTGGTTCCGCCACGTGCCTCAACAGCACAAGGACCTGAGTTCGATCCCCGGTACCAAAAAAAAAAAAGACTCCACAGCTGGGAGGAAGGCGCACCCTTAAGACCAAATCTTAGCAGGATCATCCTGAGGAGACCCAAACTGCAAACAGCACTAAGTATTCAAGTGCTTTGAGGGAAACATGACTGCCAGCCCCATCTCCTCCAAGGTGAAGCACCAGCCCACGCTCATTACTATGTTATCAGTCAAGGAGGCGAAAACTCCAGGAGAAATCACGTGCCGTGCCGTGTGTGAAGCCCAACTCTCCCTGTTTACAGACCACCTACTGCCTCACACCTAGGAGCTTAGCTGAGAGAAACCAACACAAGGGGCCACAAGTGGAGACTTGTGCTCATAGGGCTGCTTCAAGTAGCAAAAGCAAACTGCAGTCATGAGCCAGCTTGTTTATAAATAAAACTTCAAATAATCCCAAGACCCTTGTTATGTGTCCATCACCCTCTGTAGCGAATATGTAGTTTCTACAAATCACCTCTCAGAAGATGCTACTGCATATGCCCATATGACTATGCTTTGCTGTGTGTGTGGTGCAGGGGATGGAACCCAGGGCCACATGCGTGTCAGGCAAGTGCTCTGTCACTGAGCCACACCCCAGCCCTTCTATATCTGTGTTTTAAGAGCTGAAGAGAACTGAGAATCTATTTCTAAGTTGATCCAGAAAACATACTTCAGGTTGAGTAGACAGTACGTACAAGGAGTATGATGGAGGGTCAGTCGTGGTGGTGCACACCTATAATCCCAGCACTTGTGAGGCTGAGGCAGGAAGACTGCTCCAAGTTCAAGGCCAGCCTGAACTACAGTGAGACCTTGTCTCAAAAAATAAATAAATAAAAAAAATAAAAAACAAAACAGAGGCACAGTGGAACCATGGGTCTCTCAAGGGAGGAGGCAAGGCTGAAGTCCAGTGGAAGAGCTTGGCTGCTTACCCTCCTTTCTTAAGAACACTTAGGAGACTGCTGCTGAAGAGTCCTGGTCCGGAACTGTGTGTGGTCATTCCAAAAGCAGGCAGATGGCACAGTGCTACAGAGCCAAGACGAGGGGTAGCACCCTGGCTTCACACCTCCCGTGTGCCTCCTAGCAGCTGGGCTACTTCAGCAAATCCTTTACCTACTGTGAGCATCTGTGACATGAGACTGACCAGGTTGCTCTGGGATTACAGGAGACAGTGGCACATTTCAGCACCATCTCAGGGAAGCGGTCACTTCACAGAAGTATCTTAGTTGTCTGGCAAAAGGTGATGACTTAATGCAGATTTGGTATTTAATATAGCTAATGCTTTATATTTTATTTACAGTTGTTCTACAAAGAAACGCAATGCATTCTTTTCACCAGGCCTCAACACACACCTCTAGTCTTTTCCAGTGACTTCAACTGCTGTATGTACTGACCTCTGCATGAGCCAAGACAGGCACACAACTGGGAAGCCCTCCCCTAACACAAGAAAGAGGAGGATGTATGTGCCAGCAACTAAAACAGAAGTGATCGGTGATGTGTGTTCCACAAATGAGTGAGTGACTGAATCAGACTCTGACCTGTGGTCAATAGAAAGAGGAGAGCTACTAGTAGGGAATGAAGCAGAACCTGGTCCCCTGGCAAGCTGCTTCTGCTGTGCAGGACATGGACACGAGGCACAAACCAGAGACACCTAATGTTCAGTCCACAACTTCTCTTAAATACTGCTTCGTACCCAGAAGGCACATCTGGGCCATTCTTCAGGTCAGCCTTTTCTACAAAGGTCCACAAAATGTCAACACTGTCCAGCTATGTGCTGCTCACCACTTACTACTAATAGAGTAATACAGTAGGCTAATGAGATTTTGATCACTTTATGTCATCTAGCAATGTATACCAACCAAGAGAATCCTACACACCACTAAATTCTCTGCCCACAACACTCCACGAAGCTTATTTTAGGATTGATTGCTTAACGCCTTTGGAAAGGGATGCTGGTCCATTAGGAGTTAGGCCACCATGTCCTAAGGCTGGCTTCTACACAGCAGGGCTGGAGCTGGGGCCATCCTCTCAGGCACCACATTTGGCACAAGCCCCCTCCAGTGCTCAAGCCTGCTTTGTCGTTGGCCACTCTACACCACCTACTGCCATGGTGCAGTGACTCAATATAGGCCAAACCAGACTCCTGACTTCTTCACTGTCCTCCCTTCTTACCTTGGGAGCATCCTGACTTTGAGGTTTCCCTCTCATCTCATGTGTAATCCAGAAGCATACTTAGCTTTGCCTAGGCTAGAGTGGTAGAAGATCCTAGATGCTTTGGAAGCAGAACTGATACCATTCCTCACTCCCCACACCCAATCCAGCAAAACCGGATATGGCACCAACTCCTTTG